TGTATGTCACAAAGCTTTAAACACGCGTGGGTCATTCAGAGAGTAGTGAAGGCTTGATTCTCCTTCCGCTTTTCGAGGCCTGGTCACTCACCAGTCAGACTGTTGTTGACTGCCAGTACACTGTACATTCAGCAGTTGTCTTTACATCAAGTACATTCGCGTGCAAATACTAGAAACCAGAGGGCAATTTTTTCTTTCTTCAACACTTGGGTTGGAAACAGTAAATGTATAAAAGGCATTCAGCATGAAGTTATAAATAAAGACAATAGATCAGGTCAGCAAACAAAGGGGGACAGCAAAGGGCAGCAAGGGACTAGCTCCCTTAAGGTTTACTATACTAATAGCAGGAGTGTAAGAAATAAGATAGATGAGCTAAGATTAATTGCAAGTGCAGGAAACATAGATATTATTGCTATAACAGAGACCTGGCTCAATCTGAAAGATAGAGAGATGCCCTCTGAATGTCACATACAAGGCTATAAATTATTCCACACTGACAGGGTCAACAGGAAAGGTGGTGGAGTAGCGATGTATGTCAGAGACAATTTAAATTGTTGTGTTAGACAAGATATTAAATTAGAAGCGTCAGCCACTGAATCTGTTTGGTTACAGCTTCTCGAGGGGCGAGAAAAACTAATTTTGGGTGTGATTTACGGGGCCCCAAATCTTGATAGGGAGTGCAGTAAACTTCTATGGGACGAAATTCGTAAGGCATCTACATACGAAAATGTTGTGCTAATGGGAGATTTCAACTAAAAGACAGATTGACGGGAGCAATTTTGACGGGAAAATTTTAGAGTCGGGTGACTTTCTTGATACGATCCAGGATTGTTTTTTAAAACATTGGGGGGGGACCAGACCAACTAGGGGAAAATAACCTCCTTGACTTGGTTCTTGCCAGTTAGGGAAACACTAATTAATAATCTTGGGGTTTAATGATGAGCTTGGGGAAAGTGATCACAATCACTCAGTTTTAATATATCATGGAATTCCCCTAATAATGACAATCAAGTCTCCGTCCCTGACTTTCGCTTGGCTGATTTCATAGGACTGAAAAATTACTTAGGTGGGCTGAACTGGAAGGGCCCTAAAAAAAGGGGTCAGGTAGGTGGTGATGGTTGCCGATATGTTTGCTTTCCAGGGCAATAGTTCTAGCTGCTCAGTCAAATTATGTTCCAAATAGGGAAATCAATCAAACAAAAATGATCCTAAATGGATGAACAATAGATTAAAATATCTGATTGGTCAAAAGAGAGGCATATATAGGCAAATCAAAAGAGGAGAGGGGCAATTGAGAAATCGATATATTCAGTTAAAGAGAGAAATAAAAAGGGAATTAGAAAAGCAAAAAGAGATTATGAGGTTAAAGTTGCAAGAGAATCGAAGACTAACCCAAAAGGATTCTTTCAGGGTATACAGAAGCAAGATCAGGGACAAGATAGGCCCACTCAAAAGTCCTCGGTCAGCTCACTGAAGTGATAAAAATGTGTAGAATTTTTAACACAACTTCCCCCCATTTTTTACACAGGGGGTACCAGCGAATTCCCGTAATGATAAATTATGTAGAACAGGACGTAATAAACGTGCCTATTAGGGTCACAAGGACATGGCCTTAGGCAAAAAGAAATTTTAAAAACCCAACAAACCCCAGGCCCTTAAATTACAAGGGTTCAAAGGAAGAAAAAGGACTTGCACACCTTTTTTCTTTTTAACAAACTACAAACCCGGCATGGGGCCGTAAGGGAAAAAAGGGAAAATTACCTATTTCAAAAAAGGGTTTTCAGGGCCTTACTTCAAATAAGACCAAAAGCCTAACCTCCAAAAGGGAAAATTTATGGGAAACAATAAATTTTCCGAGGGAGTTCGTAGCCACCTTGAAAACAAAATTAATCAACGAAACCAGCAGGTTTTTACAAAAGGGGGGTTTCCGCCTTACAATTTATAACTTTTTTTTACAAAAGGGATTTAGGAGGTAATCATGGTAAGAAATGATATTGTGTAAATGGACTTTAGTAAGGCTTTTGACAGGGTCCCCAAAATCAAGACTTTGAGGAAAAATTTAAAACACAAGGAAAAGAGGGAAATTTTTTTCCTGGATAGAGGCATGGTTGACAAATAGGCAGCAGGAGAGTCTGCATAAATGGGGAGAAATCAAGTGGGGAATGTCACGAGCGGTGTTCCACAGGGGTCATTTTTGGGCCCCCCCTTCTGTTCACAATCTACATAAACGACATAGATGAGGGCATAAAGAGCGACATCGGCAATTTCCCCAAATGACACCAAAATAGGCCGTCGAATTCATTCTGACGAGGACATTCGAGCACTCCAGGAAGATTTGAATAGACTGATGCAGTGGTTCGGAGAAGTGGCAGATGCAGTTTAATATAGACAAATGCAAAGTTCTAAATGTTGGACAGGACAATAACCATGCCACATATAAACTAAATAATGTAAAATCTTAATATTACGGATTGCGAAAAAGATTTAGGAGTTCTGTTAGCATAATCTGAAACCAAGACAACAGTGCATAAGTGTTCGCAATAAAGCTAATAGAATCCTTGGCTTCATATAAAGAAGCATAAATAATAGAGTCCTCGGGTTGTTCTTAAACTCTATACATCCTTGGTTAGGCCTCATTTAAAATTAAACTGCACAGTTTTTGGTCACCTTATAACAGAATGGATATAAATTCTCTGGAAAATGTACAAAAGGAGATGACAAAGTTGATCCCATGTATCAGAAACCTTCCCTAGAGGATAGACTAAGGGCCCTGAATCTGCACTCTCTAGAAAGACGTAGAATTAGGGGGGATATGATTGAGGTGTATAAATGGAAGACAGGAATAAATAAAGGGGATGTAAATAGTGTGCTGAAAATACTAGCCTAAAACAGGACTCGCAGCAATGGTTTTAAGTTGGAAAAATTCAGATTCAGGGAAAGGGTATAGGAAAGTACTGGTTTTTGGTAATAGAGTTGTGGATGAGTGGAACAAACTCCCAAGTACCGTTATAGAGGCCAGAACGTTGTGTAGCTTTAAAAATAGGTTGGATAAATACATGAGTAGATGTGGGTGGGTGTGAGTTAGACCTTAAAGCTTGTGCTACCAGGTCGGTTGCCGTGTTCCTTCCTTAAGTCAATGTGACCTGACCTGACTAGGTTGGGTGCATTGGCTTAAGCCGGTAGGAGACTTGGACCTGCCTCGCATGGCCCAGTAGGCCTTCTGCAGTGTTCCTTCGTTCTTATGTTCTTATGTTCTTATGTTCTTGTAAAGTAACGAGGCTGTAGCAGGCTGGGATGAGCAAAGACCGAATCTAAAGAATGACTCTTGTACGTCTCACAGAACGAAGTTGGGTTGAAACTCAAGGCAAGCCAAAGCGGATCCAACTCTATCTAAATACTGGGAATTAGTAATTCACCACGTGTAAAATGTGATTTTGTAAACAACTATCAAAAAAAAAACCGCCCACAAAGGCGTGAGGTATTGCATGAAAGCCCAAAATTCTTGAGTACCAGATATGCTGAGATCTGAAGATTAAGAAAATGGTGCATTTCTGAAATCTGAAGACTCACAAACAACCAGCAATGCTGTGAGCGATTGAGGACTACAAGCAACTAACAGTGCTGTGAGTGAAGACTACAAGCAACCAACAGTGCTGTGAGTGAAGACTACAAGCAACCAACAGTGCTGTGAGTGAAGACTACAAGCAACTAACAGTGCTGTGAGTGAAGACTACAAGCAACCAACAGTGCTGTGAGTGAAGACTACAAGCAACCAACAGTGCTGTGAGTGAAGACTACAAGCAACCAACAGTGCTGTGAGTGATTGAGGACCACAAGCAACCAACAGTGCTGTGAGTGCTTGAGGAGCACAAGCAACCAACAGTGCTGTGAGTGATTGAGGACTACAAGCAACTAACAGTGCTGTGAGTGAAGACTACAAGCAACCAACAGTGCTGTGAGTGAAGACTACAAGCAACCAACAGTGCTGTGAGTGAAGACTACAAGCAACCAACAGTGCTGTGAGTGATTGAGGACCACAAGCAACCAACAGTGCTGTGAGTGAAGACTACAAGCAACCAACAGTGCTGTGAGTGATTGAGGACCACAAGCAACCAACAGTGCTGTGAGTGAAGACTACAAGCAACCAACAGTGCTGTGAGTGAAGACTACAAGCAACCAACAGTGCTGTGAGTGCTTGAGGACCACAAGCAACCAACAGTGCTGTGAGTGCTTGAGGACCACAAGCAACCAACAGTGCTGTGAGTGCTTGAGGACCACAAGCAACCAACAGTGCTGTGAGTGCTTGAGGACCACAAGCAACCAACAGTGCTACGAGTGATTGAAGAGGTTGAGTGAGTTACTAAAGGAGTTGAAACCACTGATTTACTAAAGATCTTGATGTTAATTGCCAGAAGACTTGTAAGGTCCACGAATTATTAAAGAATTTAAAAACAATGAATGACAGCCAGAGTTGTGAATGAAAATCTTGAGGAATGTAGAGATGTGACTGAAAAGAAAAATATCCAGAAGAACTGCATGTTACCAGTACAGCTGTGACTGAACGTAGGATACCAATGTAAATGTAACTGGAAGCTGGAGGAACATAAGGTACCTATATAGATGTGACTAAAAACTGGAGGAACGGAAGGTACCAATACAGAAGTGACTGGAAACTTGAAGGAACGTGAGTTTACAGAAGAACTGAGACAACTAACTTGAAACCAGGAGAGTTTACAGCGGTGCTGTGGCTAAGTACCTTGGGAAACGTGAGCTACCAGCAGCGCTGTGAGTTACTACAAGCACTCAGGGAGTGCCCAGCAGCCTGAAATTCACGGTTAAGTACCTGTAATGAGCAGCCTGCGGTCATCTCCTCGTCTTCTCTTTGTCATGGTAAAGAAAGGTCGGCCTACCAGTTCTTTGACCCAGTATGTTGACACAGAAACAGTATCAGTATACGTGGTCTGAGCACTCACCTCGTCTATAGTTATATCTACTATAAAAAACAGAAAGGCACAATACCGTGACTGGAGCAAAACACAAATAACCCGGACGTAGGAGAAACTTACGACGACGTTCCGGACCGACTTAGACCATTTACAAAGTCACATAGTCGTAAACTCCTCTCTGTTATGTGCGGGTTATTTGTGTACAAGAACATAAAATAGGAGGAACACTGCAGCAGGCCTACTACAAGATATTCCACTATAAAAACATTCACCCAACCTGTTAAATTAGACACAGACTGAGGGACTGACCACCTCAAAATTTTAAGGGTGATGGACTGATTACATCGTCTTCAAGTCTTTTCTGCTTCTATCAACTTTGCTGTATTCGACTGAAGAAGCCTACTGTGTAGGCGAAACGTTTCGAAATAAAGATACCTAACTGTTGCATATGTGTCTTACCTAAACTACTTCTACTGTCTCTAGTGTTATATTTGTCTGTATACAACTGAAGAATGAGATACTTGCGGAGTCTTCAGTCCTCACTAGGCTGAAGAAGACACTGGCTGGCGAAACGTTTCTAGAATAAAGAGACCCAAATGTTGCACAAATGAATGTGACCTAACCTAATTAGGTTAGGGCATTGGCTTAAGCCGGTAGGAGACTTGGACCTGCCTCGCATGGGCCAGCAGGCCTGCTGCAGTGTTCCTTCTTTCTTATGTTGTCATTTCGTATGTTATCTAAATTATTTATTCACATCCACGGAAGAAGCCTGTTGCGCAGGCGAAACGTTTCCGCAATAAAGATTGCAAAGTGGTATCTTTATTCCTTAGAGATAAATACATGAGGTGTGGGTGGGTGTGAGTTGAACCTGACTAGCTTGTGCTACTAGGTCAGATGCCGTGGTATGGTTTGTTTGCAATCGTGTCATTACGATTTCGTGAGTCAGTTAAATGAATGTGACCTGACCTGACTAGGTTACAGCGTTGGCTTAAGCCGCTAGATTTGGACCTGGCTCGCATGGGCCAGTAGGCCTGCTGCTGTGTTCCTTCTTTCTTAAAAATAGAAAAATCCTTTCAAATTTGTGCAACTTCTTCAACAGGTTCAATAAATTAAGACATTTAACAGCGCATAAATTATAGCAAGGCTACGTTAAGGTGCTGATAAATTTCCTCGTGCAAAATTAATAATCAGCATAAAAGTCCGTAATTAAATAATGTAATATTTTAAACGGAGTAACGAGGATCGAACCCTTAGTTAGGTGGTCCTGGGAATACCAGCCTTAGTCAACTCCACTACATGGAGTCAAGAGAATTACTCAACCATATTTACTTGGAATTTAATGCCATCGCAGTCATTCCCAGTAAAACTGACTGAAAAACTCTCATGACTCTGTGAAGTAGCTGATCACATGTTTTGAGAGGAATAATGAAGCGGCTGATCACATCTTTCAAGAGAAAGATGTGACCAGACGCTGTGACATTAAAATGGCCTTGTGACATTAAAATGGCCTGTGAATTCTCGACAAACTGCCATTCTCTGTGCCGAGAGGGCAATCTTAGAGCCACCAGACGACCGGTTTGAACCTCGTCACTACATCTGAATTACCATAAAAGCTTTCATAACTTTACACCACTGTTGTCCCTGGAGAAAGTTGACGAATTTTAAGTTGATCTTCTGCCTGCTAAAGTAGTATGAGCCGGGCGTGCGCCTTAAGACATTCTACCATATAAATATTATCGACACTTTCTCACCTGTTGGGCAAAAGTACACAAGTGTAACTAATGTGATATTTTATTGTGGCAACGTTTCGCTCTCCAGGAGCTTTGTCAAGCCGTTGCGGCGAAACGTTGCCACAATAAAATGTCACATTAGCTGCACTTGTGTTCTTTTACCTGAGATATTATCGGTAATTCTACCAACATTATTACCGTGTAAACACACAATGTGGGTTATAGAGCCTATTTTTTATACGAAGACGTTTCGCGCTCCAGGGACTTTGTCAGTAAAGTCCCTGAAGGGCGAAACGTCTTCAAGACAAAATATCATAACTGGCTGAAGTGGTGTAGTGTCACCGGCAAGGTACAAGGGACTTACGTAAGGTTTGTCAGGAAACAGGACAAGTGTTTCCTGACGAGGGTCGTATTCATATGATGACCCACCACGGAAGCTTTTGGTCATCTGACCGAGGCCTTCCGCTGGCTGAAGAAGCCACTTGTGGCGACCCTTTTCGTTCACATTTTGATCAGTGCATACGTGTCTTGTACCTTCAGTACCATAGCTCGCATTGTCTCATATTTACATATCACATTGTATCTCATTTACACATCACATTGTGTCTCATTTACACATCACATTGTGGCTTATTTACACATCACATTGTCTTATTTACACATCACACTATCTCATTTGCATATCCCTCATTTCTCGCATTACAATCCAATACTTAGTTTACAATATCGACATGATTAACACAGAAGAGGATTTCGCTGGTGAAAGATTTTGATCCAATGAACTGAAGCTACCCTTCTCCTTCCTTGGATCAACCCTGATTACAACGCTTCGACATGAGAGAATGTGTACTCACCGTTGTAGAGATAGCCATTAGGGCCGACCCTTAACAGCTTAAGATCATACTGGGTCATGTCTTTCTCACCGAAGCCTTCGATGTCAGTCCCTCCGATAGTCTCCTTGACGATACCGTCCAGCTCAGGGTAAGAGACGGACTTCTTGTTGCGTCGCGCCAGACACAGTATTAGCAGCACCAACACTGCAGAGAAACACCAGAACACAAGACTGTAGATAACTGCCTCAGAGAACCCACAGGTTGATGTTCTAGACACTTGTGCAATAAACCACGGTATGGGTGGGGTTAGAACTCGTGGCAAGTAACTCCAGGCCAGTGCGTAAGGCACTGTAGCGTGGTTTGCTGCAATCGTGTTATTTCGTGACTTGTGCAACACTTGAGTATTTTTACTGTGGAAACGTTCCGCCAACTAGCGGCTTCCTCAGTCGAATATAGAGAAGAATGGATGAAGATCAGAAGAAGTTTAAGGTAATCAGTCCCTGAGCCTGGAGTCCATGTGACCAGTCCATCCATCAGCTTTTTTCAAGATTAATAACATTGAGGGACTGATTACCACAAACTCCTCATCCTCAACCATTCTTCTCTGTATTGGACTGAGGAAACCACTGGGTGGCGAATCGTTTCCACAATAAGGATACCCAAGTGTTGCACAAGACTTTTCAATTAACCTCACACTCGAATAAGGCAACAATTTTTAGCCTTTTTTAGATAAAAAACCGGGACTTTTAATCAAGTTTAGTTGGGAGAAACGTCATCCAATAAAAGGCCGAGTAAATTGTGATAATAACAGTGAAATAACTCAAACATAAAGAAAAAACTTAAAATACAGAATTTAGTGCAACCTGTCCAGTAAAAACTGGTTGTACAGTAATCTGGATTGTACAGTAAATCGGACTGTACAGTAAAACCTGGATGTACACTAAAATCTGACCTTACACTAAAATCTGGATTTTACATAAATTGGACTGTACATAAAACCGATTGTAACTAAAATCATGACTGCGCACTAAAATAATGAACTGTAAATACAAATCTAGTGCAACTGTCCACTAAAATCTGGATTGTACACTAAAATCTGGACTGTACACTAAAATCTGGACTGTACACTAAAATCTGGACTGTACACTAAAATCTGGACTGTACACTAAAATCTGGACTGTACACTAAAATCTGGACTGTACACTAAAATCTGGACTGTACACTAAAATCTGGACTGTACACTAAAATCTGGACTGTGCACTAAAATCTGGACTGTACACTAAAATCTAGGACTGCGCACTAAAATCTGGACTGTATACTAAAATCTAGACTGTACACTAAAATTTGGACTGTACACTAAAATCTGGACTGTACACTAAAATCTGGACAATCCTGTATAATGGGGTGAATATCATCCCAACATTCCTGCAATATTTTCCAATTCGTAGTTTTGAGTGTCACTTTACGACCAGCGTCAGCAGTTATTCTCTAAATTAATGTCCTGTAACCAGACAATATCTTAATTTTAATAATAAAAAATTCAAATTGATAAAAAAAAAAGTTTGAAAAACCTCAAAAAAGTGAAAATATTGAAAACTGTCGAGATTTCTCTGTTTCGAGTAAAATATAACAAAGTTGTTTTTAGTGGAACAATATAAGATTTTTTGTATATTTTTTTGAAGATAAGAAAAGAAATATGGTTCTTGTAACGTAGTTAATTTAGTGTAAATTGTGTCTAAATTGTTTTGAGTACATGTTGTTTTTATATTTTTTTTTTTGCTGGTCAAAGCTGCATACGTGAGCAGACAGGAAGTGACTGGAATGTGAGAGTCGGTGACTAAATGGTTATAATTATGACCGTAATTTTTAAAGAGGTGGACCGGTAAGCCAATGGAAGGCCTCAGCCAAATGACCAAAAGCTTCAACGGCGGGTCGTCATCTAAGACCACTTGACCTTGAGAGTTGGTCACTGAAGACTGAAGTGTGTCGTGAGAGTTGGAATTCTAAGATTTATTTCCACATGAGACAGTGTCGGTACAGAGATGTGTGACGGTTGTGCACGCGGAAAGCCCGTGGTTATGCGGAGCATTTTAGACAAGGAATGAAAGAATAATAATTGAAAGGATCACATTAGACGAGAAAAGTACGAACTTCCCAAATTAAAACCACAAAACGCAGAATAAACCTGTCTTAGGACATGTCACTCTAAGCAGAGCTTCATTATGTCATTACGTGATAAACCGACATGTAGAGTGACTTGTAGTTCACAGTTTTGTAACTATATTTATAATTTATAGTATAGTTCGTAGTTATTTCTGTAAATATATTTAACACCTTGTCTTAACATTCAGTAAGAGAGGTACTCACATATGAGGCACAGGAGACTGACAACTATGATGACGATGGACTCCTTGCCCACGATGACACGAGCAGGTACTGGAGCATCACAGGGCTTGTAGGTGTTCTTGTCGTAGTCGGTGGCGTTGAGGTCGTAGAGGTAGTTATTATGGCGCAACTCTAGCACGCACCCGAAGAAGGGGTCGACCATCGGTGGTACCAGAGTCCAGCCATAAGAACTTGCCAGTTGATCGAAGCTTACCATGGCCGCCACTCCGCCCAGCTGCAAAGGTGCCCCGACGTTCAGCAAGTGACTGGGAGATTTGAGGCCTGCTAAGGGAATGGATTTCCTACATTCGGGTGAGTTGTCACTGGTGGAATTGCCCAAACATTTGAGGACTTGAAATGTGACATCACGATCGTTCCAAGTGATGGAGTAGTCGAACTCTCTGTTGGTGTTCTTCTCGAGTGGGATGGCCATGCTAATGGTCCCCGTTCCCAAGTCCATGTAAACTTGAAGCTCCCAACTTTTCAGAGCCACATATATAAAATCTCTTGGGTAGTCACTCCAAGGCTGAATCACCGTCGGTCCAGAGTAAAGCAGAAGTCCAGTGTCTTCCTTAGTATCGAAAGACATGAACAAAGACGCATTCTGGCAGACCTTCAAAGGCTCATACCAAGCGTAACCCTGCTCGAACCTGGCGCTCTTCAGTTCACAACGCGGACCGTAGTCATTGTCCGGACACTTGCAGGAGAGAGTGTTGTTGGCCTGGATGCACTCCCCGCCGTTGAGACAGAACCCGCTGTAGCACACTGAAGGAGGTGGTTCGAGAGCCCCGCAATCGCAGGTATATTCTTCAGCGATGTCGACTCCGACCATCGTCGTAGTTTTGCTTCCGATGACGAGGGGTGAGGTGATGTTAGGGCGGAGGAACTGCTGGCAGCTAGAGGTGCCACACGGTGCCACTGCCTCGTACAGACAGTCGTTGATATTCACCATCGATATGTCGACGCCTAGAGAGCCGATGAGCTGAGGAGACACACATCATCACGCTAAACTTCACTTTCTTTTGCAATTATTTTGGTACCACTATCACCATCTGTACTAATTGCGCTATCACCATCTGTACTAATTGCGCTATCACCATCTGTACTAATTGCGCTATCATCATCTGTACTAATTACGCTATCACCACCACTGGTGTCTTCCATCACTACCACTAGTGACTACTGTCATGCCACCCACACCACTGTCGTACCACTTATACCACTGTCATACCACTCACACCACCGCCATACCACTCACACCACCGTCATACCACTCACTCCACCGCCATACCACTCACACCACCGTCATACCACTCACACCACCGCCATACCACTCACACCACCGTCATACCACTCACTCCACCGCCATACCACTCACACCACCGTCATACCACTCACATCGTCATACCACTCACACCATCACACCACCGCCATACCACTCGCACCACCATCACACCACCGCCATACCACTCACACCACTATCACCATGACCTTACCACTAATAACATCACTCACAACACTTACATCACCACCACTAGCACCACTAACGCCAGCAAACCCACTGACCTGCTGCCTATACATCATCATGACGCCGTTGAGTCTGGCGGCGGTGTAGAAGGGTGAATTGTGACAGTTGTACCGGACCGTAGCGCCTCCCTCTACATCTCTCAGGGTGAAGATGTCCACACTCTCCGTATCGATGTTGTGTATCTTCGCTATCTCCTCCTTCAACCGCTCGTACAGACTACTGCCAGTCATGACCGACTGCAGCACCAGAGCAAAAAGACAAGCTTGAGGTCAGGGTACAAGCACGCTTACATTGATATACGGTGTTTCAAACATATGGACCCAATTTCAAAGCAGTACGGCTTTGAAATTGGGTCCATTATTTTAAAACACCATGAATTATACTCACTGGTTACTTGCAATGCCTTGGGAATGGGAGATGATCAAGCACCCATTATGGTAATTTTCCATTCCCTCCATAACTTCTGAAGGGATGAGCATAATATGTTGGCAAGTTTCAGTGGACACCATTAGTGCTAAATGAAACAAAAAAAAAAAAACGGTATAGACGAGGCGAGTTGCAGAAGTTAACCGTAAGGATCATCGCGAGAGAGCTAAGTTAAGTTAATGTACCGTATTTTCTGGCATATAAGGCGCACGATCAAGCAGTTGTAAAGTAACATTAGCAAACAACTGCTAAAGCGTAACCCAGAGCCTACCCTTATTCTTGACCTTGAGCATACAAGGCGCAGGGTGATTTTCCAAGTTTTTTGTGAGGGGGTGGAAAGCGCGCCTTATATGCCGGAAAGTACGGTACGCAGAAATCTGTGTAATTTTACCTGTCATCTACCATGTTCACGGGACACCAGAGAGCTTCTTATGTTCTTCTTGACTTACACCAAATTTCTGTTTTACCCCAAAATTAACATAGCTATAAAGACTGGCAAGTCTTACCCCTTGCTGCTGTAAGATTCCTTGAGCAGTGTATCCTGCCACCTTGAAGGAGCCAGAGTGCATCACCGCCTCCTCCGTCAGGTCCACCACAGAGATGGCCACCTCTCCGATGGCCGTCTCGTTCCGGAACTTGTCAATTACCTGAGTGGAGAATCGAAGATGAAAGGCGACTTGCATTTTGAGAAACAGCAGCTTAAAGATAAACAACGAGATCTCTCAAGGTAAATTACATTAAGCAAATGTCTCCAATGTGATTTCCTAAAGAAATGTCATATTTAATCTCACATTCGTCAACATTGTAGTTTTATTTGAGACGAGTTAAACTATCCTCGTGATTGAGGTCTTTTCGTGGACTCACGAAATCGTAATAACACGATTGGCAAACCACGGAACGGGTGTGGTTTGAAACCGTGGAGATTGGTAAAACTCCAGAACAGTGCGTAAGCCAACTGGGCCAGTGGCTTATGCACCGGCCTGGAGTTTTACTACTCGCTCGCCTTGGGTTCAGACCCCATCCGTTCCGTGGTTTCTCTTCGTTGGACAAAAAATATTTATTTATCTTGGTTCTTAATAAGCTTAACCTTCGAGGGACTAAACACCTGCTGGTCTATCGGCTCATTGGGTAGGAGAGGCTCGAGGCTCCCTACTCTGATCTCAGCCCGGTCTCTGACCAAACAGGCTGTCGAGAAAGCATCAACAGATCCTGACACAATCCTTCAGTAACCTGAGATAACAAAGGAACACTTCCAAGCGTACACCAACCTTGACTCTAAGCACATAGTTCCCCTCAGGCGTCCCTTTCTGCATGGTGATGTTCCCGCTGTTTAAGTCGACATCGAAGTAAGTGTCGACTTCTGGAGGAGTCGTCGCGTCGATCTCGAAGGTTTTGTCGCCTACGTCGTAGTCGTCAAGGTCCGTGACGTACACAGTGCCGATCACCATGGACGGGAACTGACCCTGTAGGAGGGGAGTTTACCTGTGACTGAATTCAAGGGTTTACTATCCTCGCAAAGCGTCCTGAAGCCTCTCAAGAATGTTACAATACCGTGGCTAGAACAATTCAGATCTAACGCACAATACCGTGGCTAGAACAATTCAGATCTAACGCACAATACCGTGGCTAGAACAATTCAGATCTAACGCACAATACCGTGGCTAGAACAATTCAGATCTAACGCACAATACCGTGGCTAGAACAATTCAGATCTAACGCACAATACCGTGGCTAGAACAATTCAGATCTAACACACAATACCGTGGCTAGAACAATTCAGATCTAACGCACAATACCGTGGCTAGAACAATTCAGATCTAACACACAATACCGTGGCTAGAACAATTCAGATCTAACACACAATACCGTGGCTAGAACAATTCAGATCTAACGCACAATACCGTGGCTAGAACAATTCACACCTAACCCACAACACTCTGGTTGAAACAGTTTACATCTAACCCTTGAATTGGAAAAAAGTTTAGACGATGTTTCGGTCTGTCTTGGATCATTATCATCCCACTACATGATAATGTTTCAGAAAGGACCGAAACGTTCAGTTTCGTCTTGAATTTGTAAGTCAGTCGTGAATTATCACAAATAAGAGGAAGGAAAGTAAACGACTTCTTTTGCCATTTAGGTATTGGAGATATAATAAAACTTGTTAAGACTCTCTCTCTCTCTCTCTCTCTCTCTCTCTCTCTCTCTCTCTCTCTCTCTCTCTCTCTCTCTCTCTTTCTCTCTTTACACAGGGTTTGACAAGGTTAAGGATCCCTAGCTTTATTGACAAGCTATTTACAGGTTAAGGATTCCTAACTTTATTGACAAGCTAAGAGCTGTGTCTCTCTCATATATATAAACTACCTCTCAAATCCACAACGGGATTCGAGCCTGCAAACTCGGCATCAGAGTACACAGTACTTCATCCACACAGCCTGCTTGAGAATTGTTAAGTAACACACACACACACACACACACACACACACACACACACACACACACCATCAGATATTAAGATGTAGTCGAGGACACAGAAAACACCCCCAGAAGTAGATGTTACCTGGTAGTTGTAGACTTTGATGGTGCTGAAGCCGTCCGTCATGGGGGAGTCATTCTCGTCACCCACTTCCACTGTCAGGTACCGAGTCCCAGACACTTGCTCCCTGTCGGATGTCCTGAAGGGGATCTGGTACGTCTTCTGCGCCTCCCGGTCTAGCACTTTCAATGTCCGCAGTTCGTATTGCGAAGTGTAGCTGCAGGCGAAGTGGAACATAGATCGTAGCAGGGAAAAATATTCGTAGAAGGGGAATAAAAATCTTGGGATGGGAAAAAAATCGCAGTAGGTGGAAAAAATTCGTAACGGGAAAAAATCGAAGCGGGGAAAAAATCGAAGCGGGGAAAAAAATCGAAGGATGGGGAAAAAAATCATAGCAGGGGGGAAAAATCGTAGTAGAGAAAAAAAATCGTAGCAGGGGAGAATGTAATCATAGCAGAAATAAAACTGATTTGTAGCAGAACCTGAAATTACAGCTTGTAGCACGTGGGAAAAGAAGACTTTATTTTTCCTTTCTTTTTGTGATTAAATGTCCTCGTACTCGAAGATGCTGCGAACCTATGCGTTATAATCCTGATGAACCTACACATCTACATTTCACGAAGGCTGTACAGTACTAATTCCTCTCTGAATACTCACTTTGGCGACGCTCTCACACTGAACTTTTGTATAATGTCCGCTGGCGTAGTGCTCTCAAAGGAGAGTGTACAGGGACATCCATGTTGTTCCGTGTCCCAGTCACTCAGCATGATGGTTATTGGTTTCAAGGAATCTGGGGAAGCATTCTCCATGATCTTGGTGTAGCTGTTGTCCTGGAGGAAGGAGAAAAGCAAACACATAAACAGAAATACAGAGGTGTGAGTCCTAGGTTAGCTTGTTGTTATACTTAGACTCATCTCTACAGATTCACTCATCGCTACTCACCGGACTCTGGATGTATGGATGATTGTCGTTGATATCTGCTATGTTGAGGGTTACCGTAGCCGGTTCAGCATCGTGGCCATAGCCACCTTCATCCATGGCCCGAGGGTAGAGGTACATGGTGGCCCTAGTGGCAGCCTCACGGTCCAAACACTGGTCGGTGGAAAGTAAAGAGAGAAGCATGTATTAGCTGCCCAACCTAGACAAACATGAACACAAAATGAGTAGACATAACATACAGAGATATGTATACATAATATAACCAAAAATGCCTCCCTAGTATTAACTAACATGCATGAATACACCAACGTACGTACATAACATTCATAAAAATACATAGGCATGTATAATTAGCATGCACATACATATATACATGACATACACAAACATGCATGTATAGCATATACAGACTAACATGTATAGCACACAAAAATACAGACATACCGTAAATGCACACACACACACACACACACACACACACACACACACACACACACACACACACACACACAACAATAGCATAAACAACATTCCTTAAAACTAGGCATTCATTCTAATTACACTCACTCCTTTGATGTAGAGAGTTCCCGAATCTTTGCCGATGGTGAAATTGGTGAGTTCGTTCATGGAGAGATAGTAAGTGATATTCTGGTCGTCTTGTGCAGGCAGATCAGGATCTATCGCCGTTACCTGTAGACCAAACAGACAAGGGACCAGCACGTTAGTTAGGGTGTTAGGGATGAATATTGAGAGGCCTTAGAGTTACGATTCCCCGCTCTTGGTCTATATATACCGGTATATATACCGGCCTATACACCTCTAGGTGTATATACCAAAATAAATCCTCTCGGTGTTTATGAACTGTAAAATGCCCATCTCTCGGTGTATTACCTATGACCAAGTCTGTAACTTGAACGGAAAAATCAAGTTGTGAACATACCTGACCGAAGTTAGTGTCACAGTCAGTGTTCTCGGTGACAGTGTAGTTATACTTGTCTGGGACGAAGATGGGCTGTTGGTCGTTGATATTGGTGACATTGATGGTGATAAAGACTTCAGCCATCTCATTGGCACCATCACTCAGGCGCACCAACATGGTGAACTAGCCAGGGAAACAGAAAACAAAGGGGCACGTGAGTTTTTTTTTTCTGATAGATATTAAGACAAAAGTTTGTTAATCGAGGCAACAACTGATTAATATATAATTTATTTTCAAAGGGGATATTACACTCGTAATGAGGCAGTTATGTAATATTTAGTACTATGTAGATTTATTACATCTTAAGGGATAATGTTGTGTACACAGAGATGTATGTCTCTCTCAGTGTATATAGGCTGTAAGGTTACTTTAAGGCCAATTTAAGGGAATCTTTGATTGGTGGTGCGCATGCTACTTGCAGCCTTATTGACTCCGGTGTAATAGAACAGGTACTGAGCCCGAAAAAAACAACCCTAAAAATCTGAGGAAAGCGATAATTTGCTTTTCAATCTTTCAGGGAAATATAAATATTACATCTGATGATGTGGCCGATAAGCCAGCGAAAGACATTAGCTAAATGACTAAAAACTCCCACGAAGCAGATCACCACGATACTAAGACCAGAGTTAGAGGAGTCTTCCCTATCATCCCTGGTCAATAAAACACCACCAGACGTGCCATATGGATGAACCCAAGAGTACATACGGTTCTGTCTTGGACGGGCTTGTCGTAGTCCAGTTCCTTGTTGATTAGAACCTCACCAGTCGCCGAGTCGATCCGGAACTTTTGTTCTTCGTTTCCCCTGACGATCTGGAAGTCGTTGTGATTCACTGCAGGAGACAGTGAAGTCACGTCACTAAGACGTTCACCAAGAAGGAATATCAAGAGGCTTTTAAAGATCAAAAAGGCATAATAGTGTGACTGGAATAATACATAAATGGCCCAAGTCGTTATAAGCTTCTCTCTCCGATATCCGGGTTATTTAAATTCTAGGGGATTAAGATCGTGTTTTGAATGATAGAATTAAGACTAAAATCTTAGATACAGGCGTTTAATTTAGAGGTTTCAAGAAGAGAATTCGACTCTTGTTCGAGATTAATAGTTACCACACACACACACACACACACACACACACACACACACACACACACACACACACACACACACATACACACCCACCCACACAAGACCCAGTGCAGTTGACAAATGGTAACTAAAACACACACAATAACTTGTACTCACCAATATCAGGGTCGATAACAACCAGCTTGATGCCTGTGTTTTTGCCAGGTACTCTGTTCTCTGGCACCTGTACTGAGTACACGCCTTTCTCCAGGTCAAACTTGGGAGGTACGTCGTTGATGTCCTGCACCGTGATCCAGTATAAGGTCATACGTTCGTGTTCTGTCGCGGTGCATACACGGAGGATTAGTTTGTATTTATGTGGGGCGTGATATTCGGCTCCTGTCAAGGTCCACACACTGAGGGACAGTCTGCTCACGTGTGGGACAGGAGCTGTCGCTTTTTACTATATGTGTAGATGTGGAGTTGAGGGAGGCTAAGGCGTAGAATAAGGCATGCTGGTGGATGTAGTTGGAGAGTATAGGGGATGTTAGCTGGTTTTGGTAAAGGATGAAGTACGTATATTGTGGATGTGTGATGGAGAATGACAGGAATGTTGTGGTAAGTCGTAGATGGATGATTTTGGATGCTGTGACTTGCAGTGTGGGAAGGACAGAAGAGGCTATGGATTTTTCTGTGGGAAAATATAGAAGCCGTTGTACATTTTTTTAAATATGCAGTGACATCTGGAGGAAAGATCTCATCATCTATAACTATGCATCAATAACTAGCCACTTCCTCTGTAACAAAGCTTTCCTTCTGAAACTAACCAAATCCCTCTCCACACCAACACCAATCAGATGTGGAACCACATCTGACCCCTCGCCTTGACCTCTAATTCCCCTCCCCCTCCCCCACCATGACCTCTGACCATCCTGACCTTGACTTCTGATGCCTCACCTTGTACTCCATCAGTGACCTGTATAGGAATGCGGTACCGGGGATTGTTCTCTCTATCCAAGCTTTTCAACGTCCACAGTTCTCCATTAGGCTTCAACGTAAACTTGTCCAAGACATCAGGAGTCACCGACTTATAGAAGGAGTAGCTGAGCTTTTGAAGATAATAAGATATAACAGGTCAAAGGTCATCTATATGATTAAGACCGTGTCAGGATGACACTTCTCCTGTCTCCTGACAAATAAAACAACAGGAAGCTAATGAAGAATGAAAATGCATAATACAGTGACTGGAATAATGTACAATTAACCCGCACATACCCGGAGAGGATTTCGGGGGTCAACGCCCCCGTGACCCGGTGTGTGATCAGGCCTCGTGATGACGTTTCGGTTCGACTTGGACCATGTAGCTAGTTAATCGTCCAAGTCGGACCGAAACGTCGTCATAGGTTCCTTCTAATGCGCGGGTTATTTATGTACAGTGAACACGCTAGTGGAGACGAAGAGAGACAGAGATATAGACGGGGAAAAAATAGAAATAAAGAGAAGTGAGAAGAGGAATAGGAATAGGCAGAAAGACGAAGAAACAGAAAGAAATAAGCAGAAGTAGAGGGAAGGAAATAATTACTCTAGCAATAACGTTGTAAACATTCTAAAAAACGTTGAGAGTAAGACACATGTGCAACATCTGGGTATCTTTATTGTAGACGTTTCGCCATCCAGTGGCTTTATCAATACAAATTCTAGGACATAACTTGAAGACAGTATATACCATTATATACCATTTCGTACACAACTTGTCAGACACTGCAACATCATGGAATCTTAATTCTGAGGACATGTACATAACCTTCACGACTACGACAACTACTTCTACAACTAACCCATCTCTTCGGGAAGGACCTACTTCCACTGGGGAATCCCGCCTACCAGTGAATATGCCCTCGTCTGCTACACCTGACGTTACTATATAAGCGCCAGGATTCTTTCTTCTGCTTCAGAATCTCCACGACTATGGTGCTGTTCGCACCTACTCCTAGTTTGAGGGACTGATTACCTCATCTTCTGTACATAGTTCTACTGTCTTCAAGTTATGTCCTAGAATTTGTATTGATAAAGCCACTGGATGGCGAAACGTCTACAATAAAGATACCCAGATGTTGCACATGTGTCTTACTCTCATCTTGTCGGTATTATATACCATTTCGTACACATTCTAAAAAACGTTTTCACATAACACAAAGTGAATTATCATGATAATTCGTATACTAAGGGCTGTTGCACAATAATAATAACTGTTACAATAATAACAAAAACGGTTATAACAAAAGTAATAGTAATTGCCAATAATAATAATAATAATAATAATAATAATAATAATAATAATAATAATAATAATAATAATAATAATAATTATAATAATAATAATAATATTATTATTATTATTATTATTATTATTATTATTATTTTGTCGTTAGTATTAACTAACGGCATGAATATCTAAGCCAATGAATAAGACGAACAATCAATGATAGAGTGGGTAATGGAGAATGATTAAGAGTGCAGGTAATTACCTGGTTTATAAATTAGACACATGTGCAACTCTTGGGTATCTTTATTGAGGAAACGTTTCGCCACACAGTGGCTTCATCAGTCCATACGTAGGAGAAACTTGAAGAACAGGAGGAGAATGAGGTAATCAGTCCCTCAACCTTGAGTCGATGTGTTCAGTCCATCAATCTTGAATTCTTGTATTCTATTCAAGATTGATGGACTGAACACATCGACTCAAGGTTGAGGGACTGATTACCTCATTCTCCTCCTGTTCTTCAAGTTTCTCCTACGTATGGACTGATGAAGCCACTGTGTGGGGAAACGTTTCCTCAATAAAGATACCCAAGAGTTGCACATGTGTCTAATTTATCAACATGTCGGTTCTCTGAACCATTCATCTACATACCTGGTTTAGAAAGACACGTAAGCAAACACTATAACATATTTATTAGAAAACGTTTCGGTCCTGGGACCTTGATCACTTCTAACCTAAGAAGTGATCAAGGTCCCAGGACCGAAACGTTTTCTAATAAATATGTTATAGTGTTTGCTTACGTGTCTTTCTAAACCAACTTGTCGGTATTTATTACCAAGATTTATACCAGGTAATTACCTGCACTCTTAATGGCGAATGAGTGAATGCTTCACTAGGAGCCCCTCACCTGTCTGAACTGTTCCGAAGCGTCTTTGTCTATAGCCTTGATGGTGGTGATGAGAGAAGAGGGAGAGTTCTCCACGATGGCGCCATTGAAGGGTTGTAACAAGGGGGCATTGTCATTCACATCTTCGATTTCTACGGGTATCTGGACGTCTACTCGGGCATTCTGCTCGTTCTATGGGTATTACAAATCTTTATGAAGATGAGTAGATTGCATGCAATGTTTCAAGATGATAATTGGTTATCTTGAAATATTGTCTAACTACGGCACTCTGAGAGACAAAAATCAATACAGGTAAATTATTACGGCTAAATTATTACAGATCAATTATCACAGGACTAGGTTAAGGCATTGGCTTAAGCCGGTGGGAGAATTGGACCTACCTCGCATGGGCCAGTAGGCCTGTTGCAGTGTTCCTTCTTATGTTCTTATAACGGGGATATTGAATAGTATATTGTATCCTTAAGAGGAATGGTAAAAGTACCGTACTAGCTACGATGTGTAAATATACTAGAGTGTTGATCTTTGGACAAAGATATTCATGCGCAGTCGAGGATGTCTATTGAGACGACGTTTGGCCACGAGCGGCTTAGTCTCTGTCTCTGACAGAGAAACAGTGGTCTCTAACAGGACAGAAGCAGCAGCTCCCAGCGAAGCGTGTCCTCAATAAGTGTGCACATGCGTTCTCAGTGTCTTGGAGTGTGCATAAATATCTTTGTCCACATACTGCCAGCATCACCAGACCTACTCTCAAGCTATCCAGGTGTCATGCGGGGGAAGTACTCACCACAACTTGTACTCACCACCACTTGTACTCACCACAACTTGTAGAATAAGCTTGTAGTTAGTAATGGACTCGTAGTCAAGACTCCTCATAGCTATATAGATGACCACTCCCCGGCTGTCACTTTGACACTTGGGATCATTAACCTCCAGGTTCCTGCAGAAGGAGACACAATTGTTTGGTCATGAGTGCAGGATAAAGCATAAAGTAACATCTGTTTTTTCTTTCGTAATAAGCATATGGTGTTTCACAGGGCAGAGGTGTAGGTGGGGAGAGATGACCTACCTGATGGCAAAGGTTCCGTCAGAGTTGGTGTCCTTAGTGTTACCGTTAAGCAGTGTGAAGTACACCTCTGGTTTACCGGGGATGTTCGACCTGGTAATCACAGAGACGGAAAATCAGCATTAGGAAGCAGGCTTATGCAGTATCGGAAGGTATTAAACAGATGAGAGAGAGAGAGAGGAAAGAGATGCTTACGTGGCGCAGACGATGACCACATCGGTGTCCTCAGTGTTCTCCTTCACTTTAGGTGTGCTTGGTTCTTGATAAACAATGGTTGGAGGCAGGTTTCCTGACGATACAACGTGGATATCAACCCCGACTCTACTGCTCAGCGGAGGCACCCCCTTGTCTGTCGCTACGGCCTCCATGGAAAATGTCTTCTCCCCAGCCTAGTCAAAACCATACCAAATGAAGAAAAATAAAACAGTTATCTGTTAAATGTTTTTTATGTGATAAATAATTTTGAAAACCGACAAGTTGAAGAATTGAGACACTTATGCAACATATGGGAATAATTATTGAAGAAACATTTCGCCACACATTGGATTCATCAGTCCAAAACAAAGCAGGAAGGACTGCATAAGTGTCTAAGTGTTTTTTGTTTGGGGACGATTCTCTTCCCAACGGTCTTGTTTTAGATCAGAACTCGGAGGTTGGAAAAGAAATATTACAGGGCTAAGAAACAATAAGAAGCACAGAAAATGTACATATTAAATATTAGGAGAAGTTTGCAAGATTTATCTGTCATCTTACGTGTTCTTGAGAAAGAAAAGTTGGGCAATACAGTCAGAGGAAAAATTTTTAACAAGTTTCTGTTTTACACTCATCGGACCGGATGGTACTGCCTCCCTGGATGCTTGTTGTCTGTGGAGCTACTGTTGTTTTAACGGAAAGTTGCAAAGGTTGGTAGACGAATTTGGAAGGGTATGCAAAAGTAAGTTAGGTTTGGTAAGGTTCGTCAGGAAAGAGGACAAGTGTTTCCTGATGCAGGTTTGGATGATGTCCCGCCGTTGGAGCTTTTAGTCATCTGACAGAGGCCTTCTACTGGCTTGCCGGTTCACCCCTTTAAAAGTTATGATTAGTTATAACCAATTTTTATGCAAAAGTAAGAAATTAAAAGTGAACATAGAGAAGAGCAAGGTGATGAGAGTAACAAAAAAATCTAAGCAATGAAAGACTGTATATCAGAGTGGTGTGAGGGAATGTGGAGAAAGTAAATGTGTTTACAATTTGGGAGTGGATTTATCGGCAGATGGGTTTATCAAAGATAAGATAAACCATAAAACTGAGGAGGGAGACAGTTTTCCTATTCTCGTATTTGTAAAAGGGCGGAGGACGGGTTCTTGAGATGGTCTGGACGTTTAGAGAGGATGGAGGAAAATGGGAATACTAGGAGGGCATATAAATTTGGGATGGAGGGTGACAAGGGAAGGGGCAAAGGTTTTGAGTGCTAGAGGCTTGAACATCCAACAGACTTGTATGAGCGTGTTCGAAGTGAGTAGAGGCAAGCGGTGTGTTGACGTGCTGTTGGAGTGTAAGCAAATAATGTGTAGGAAAACCAATTAGCCGGAGTTAAGTCCTGGAGGAAAGAAGTGCAGTACCTGTACTCTGAAGGGGGGATGGCGATGTTACAGTTCGGAGGCTCATCTTGAGCTGTGACGTCGGTACGCTTGTAGTAAGATAGTGACTGAAGGAATAATGGTGGTGAAAGTGTTTCTTGTTTCTAAGGGTCACCCTGCCTCAGTTAACCCGTAATATATATATATATATATATATATATATATATATATATATTATATATATATATATATATATATATATATATATATATATATATATTATCACTTCTCCGAGCTATGGGTCCATCAATTTACACCAGAGGTGGACCCCATCCTTTATATATATATATATATATATATATATATTATATATATATATATATATATATATATATATATATATATATATATATATATATATATATATATATATATATATATAATATATATATATATAATTACATTAAAGAGAATAGGGGGAAAAAAGAGCCCGTTGGAGTATTGTCCTAAAAGAATTACCGAGACAACTGCTGCAGGATACGACCACAGTGTTGTTGGGAAAACTTTTGCATCAAAATTTTTCCAGAAGAGTTTGGAATGATATTTTAGATCACATTCCCGCAGTGACAACAAGTTTAGAATTCTGACTCAAAGAATATTTTATAAGATTTATTATGCAAATTGAATTGTCATATATTTCCTCGACAACTTTACCAAAAAAAATCAAGTATAAAAACTTCGCGTTTGTATTTTTTTTGCAGTCTATGAGACATAAAAACACCAGCACATTATTTTTATCTGATATTCTTTTTGATTAATGGCTAATTTTACCGAGATTTTTTTTTATTTCATTGAACAGAAAAAAAAAAAAAACGTGCCAGTACGCACTACCGGAATATTAATTCAAATATTTCTGTGGTTGGCAAAAGTGGGTTGCAAAAGTTTGGGTTACACAGCCGGCTTTAGCGAACCGGTTTCCCTCCCCTTTTTTTTTTCTTAATTCTGACTACCACCACTGCACGTATTTTATTCCCCTCGATATGCTATATTCTCTCGATCCAAGGATTTTGAGCTGCCTACTCCTTACATTATCTTGAAATTTCTGTCTGTCACGACTGTGCTTGAATGCTGGTGAAGAGCTCATGATCCAGGGAGTTAGAGCTGATCAGACTGAATTACCTTCCATTCCCCAGGCGCTATGTGACCCCTGCTGGTCACAGGAACATAATTATAACAATAAAACGTAATACCTTTGAAGAGTTTCGAGAGTTTCACTACTCTCGGAGCCCGGCCATGGGTCAGGCTCGTAATAATAATAATTCCTTATCATAGTAGAATAAATAACAAAATAGTTATAACATCGTTTCATTATTGGAGAGGCGATAACCAACAGCCTGGCTTATCAAAACAAGGTGGGATTAGCAGACGTAAGGTCGAGCCTCCACCGAGAAATGTTAAACGATGTTACGATCCATCCTGGACATTAATCAAGTCGTGATTTGATAATTCACAAGAGTAACACGTAACACGTCTTGCAAAATCAGCGGCTTACCATGCTATCGTCGAGGGGTTTGACCAAGGAGATGAAGCCAGTGGCTTACCATGCTATCGTCGAGGGGTTTGACCAAGGAGATGAAGCCAGTGGCTTACCATGCTATCGTCGAGGGCTTTGACCAAGATGAAGCCAGTGGCTTACCGTGCTATCGTCGAGGGCTTTGACCAAGGAGATTATACCAGTGTCTTACCATGCTATCGTCGAGGGCTTTGACCAAGGAGATTATACCAGTGTCTTACCATGCTATCGTCGAGGGCTTTGACCAAGGAGATTATGCCAGTGTCTT